TTACATGATAACTAATGTTTTTTGATATGAGGAAAAAAAGAAGAATATGGTTTCAAGTTCTTGATTGGATAGAAACAAATTTTATCATTGCTGCTTTAGTCGTTAATGTTTTGGCACATATGGGAGGGAGGGGGAGGGGGGGGCTCTATCGCTTCGTATTCGCTTAATGGTTTTAACCTCCTTTCTTATATTTCATGTTTTTATGCGATTTGAGACGCTGAACATACTTTTGTTCTGAATATTATACTTTTCTGAGCGAATTACAGGGAGTGTGATTTTTTACGGTGCCGAATAGCTTAACTCTGAGGCGCATAAATTAGGGACGGCATCAATGTAATGATCTCTAATATATGTTTATGAGTAATAATTGTAACAAATCATTTGAGAATTGGAGCTATATGCTGCTTTTTTCTGCTAGAAAGAGAGATTGCGCATGAGCATTAAGAGAAACTGCATTTTCACATGAATCATTTTCGGGAGCTTTCATGATTCATGTGTTGAAAGTTTGAGTGAATGTATAGTTTGTGATTTCGGGGTAGAAACAAAAGAGTATCGAGCTTTCTCTCGCTTAGATCTAGAAATCAGAGGTGAGACCAGTAAAAATACTGAAGCAAAGCAAAGCTTTGACTGAGAACTAAACGTACAGGAAAGTTTTTAGATGCTCTCTGATGATAGTCTAATACGTCGACAGTTTTTCAGTAATTCAAGTTTTTTGGGGAAATGGGAAAAGTTTTTTGGGAGATGGAAAAAGCCGTCAATTGTTACGGCAGAAGGAATTAAAGAGGGTCAGAGTCACATATGGCGAAATCGTATGAGCGATTATAGAATAGCTGCATTTTGCATGCAATCACATTAATACCAAAAGCACTTCAATCTTTGCAACTGTAGTAGTTGCGCACTAAATCTATGCTATCACCAAGTTAATTTGCATGTTTTTTTTTCGTGTTTGTTTTGATGCGAAAGGAAATCCATAGCAGATGAATTAATTTTTCTTTTAATGTCTGCTAGGACAGTATTCTTAGTTGTATATATGCTTCACTTAGAAGAACATAGGAAGTAGGATGAGAAGGAATAGAATCTGAGGGGTTTTTAGAGGTTTTTGTTTCATCACAAATTCCGTGATCTGGATTTGATTGTGATAATGTCTTCCTGCTCTTCTCGTAACTTACGGCTCTTTGTGATGAGTGTGGAATATGATTGAAATTTAGTATTTTTTTCGGTAGCAGGGTACATAGGAACATAGTTATATGAAATTAAAGGAATTTTTCAATCTCGTACATGTTATCTTTGGTTCTCAGAATATCATCCCGACGATAAACTGGTGAAGGGAAGAAGAGAAAGAAGTTGGTTTAGAAAGAATTCTCGAATATACGAGTCAAAGATTAGTAGTAGAATTTGAGCCCAGAATGAATCTTTAACCTTTCAAATTCCAATATTGAGTAAATTTACATATTTAATGCTGTAGATCCTTCTGTAAATTTTTTTGAAATCTGAAATTTTATTTCAATAGCTTGCAGCTATGACTGCGAAAGCGAGATCTTTTAAGTACGCAAATACTTACTGGATCTCTCGAATCATTCAAAGGAAGAAATTATGTATGTCTATAGGAATACATACAATCTACTTTGTATAGTTCATTGTATTTTGCCTGGGAGTGGATGGCAATTGTTGCAGCTTAAAATGTTTATTATCAAAAACTGTTGCCACTTTAAAGCTTGAAATAGCTAGCAGCTAAGCGCGGTTCTCTTTGTTCAGGACGTTATGACAATGTTCAACAATTGCTACACGTACAACCCTCCTGAGTACGGGGTTTATATGATGGCGAAGAACCTGGAACAGTATATTCTCGCCAAGCTCGCAACGATGCCCCCTGAAGTAAGGATTTTCAATTATTCATTACATCTGTTTTTGCTAGCTTTCAGGATTTTGAGTCCATTTTTTCCAACTGCTACAAATTCAACCAAAATGAGGACGACGTATCACTTATGTGCAAGAATGTGGAAAATTTGTACAGAGAAAAAATGAAACTACTACCGCCTCAGGTATTTTTGAAACTTTCACACTGTGCGATACGTGCAGTATTCCACAGGTTTGTGAGTGTTTTTTGTTTTTGTTCTTCCTTTTTTTCTTACTTTGTTTGATTTTGCTGTCATATGCTTCAGCTTTTTATTTCAGGAAGTGGAAATACCACGCCCAACTGCTAAGCGAGCTGCTGGTAAATCGAAGAAGTCAACTGGTCGTGTTGCAGTCGTCAAAGGAGGTTGGTTGTTCTCTTAAAATTTTATAATCAAGCGATTTTGAATCGCACTCTTTAATGCTTAATGCAATTTAAATTTCAGGAAGCCGTGAATCATCTGTATCTGTTCAGCGTGGCGTTGCCGACAGCTCGTCGATTTTGGATGCTGCAGCAAATGGAGCTATTCATGCTTCCGCAACAGCTACTGTAGACGATGTTCATCCGACGTCATCGCAAGCGCCTGTTCAGCCTGTCCTCCCTTCGAAGGTTTTTTGCTTTAAAAAGTTCTCATCTGCCGTTTTTGGAATTTTTGATTTGAGTTTCAATGATGTCATCTACAATGTGGTTTGATAAATTTTACAATTAATATGGACATTTTGATGCATCTTCATGAGTTTGATTTTTAGTTTGTTTATTAACTTATTTTAGGTTCAGAAAGGCGTCAAACGAAAGGCAGATACAACAACATCATTTGGTGATGATGTCGTAACTGCGAAAATTGCAACTCGTCGAGAATCTGGGCGACCACCCAAAAAACCGAATTATTTCATCGACTACAATCAGTTGAAGCCGCGTTTTAAAGGAAAACAAACTGAACAAATGAAATTTTGTCAGCGCCTCGTCAATGAGTTATTCACGAAGGTATTAAACAAAAAAAAAAATTGTGTTGCGCAAGCAAAAGCATTGTGTGTTATCGAAATATTGTTTCCCAGGAGAAATATGTCATTCCTTTTTGTCATTTCGTTGGGAACATTGATGTTTTGTAAAGTACTGAATGATCTAGTTTAAAAATTTTTTTCTACATCTGTTTTAGAATAGTGCTGAATATGTATAATATTCAGCATCATTCTAAAAGTGAATTTGAACTGTATGTAGAAACGAAAAGACAATTATAAATCATGCCGATGGACGAGATTTTTTAGTAATGTATATGATTACTAAGATTTTATTTGGTAATTTAAATTAGGAATGCCATTTTTGCGCTGTAAAGTTTTATAAAATTAACATATGTTTAGAAGTGTAAGTCGTTTACTTGGCCATTTCTCGAGCCTGTGGACGTTGAGGGTTTGAAACTGGAAGATTACTATGATATAGTGAAGAATCCAATGGATTTGGGAACGATTAGGTAATAAGTTATCAATCATTTCCGTTGCAAATATTAACAATAGTGGCTGGGATTTGCAAATGTTCTATTCGCAGGTTTTTACATGGTAATAAGTTTCAACATATTTGAGATTCTTTTAGTGGTCGTACCATGCAGTAGATCAGTGCCTTATCATTTCTCTGTTGGTTTTCATAAATATTTCGTAAAGGTAAATAATGATTTTAAGGAGAAAATTGGATGCTAAGCAATATGCGACACCAGAAGAGCTACGGGCTGACGTTATATTAGTTTGTGAGAACTGCTACAAGTACAATCCCACATCAGATCCTATCCATCAGCATGGTCGAGCTCTTCAGGTTATTTGTTTAAAAGCTTTATATTTCAAGAAACAGTCAAGTTTTCTTTTGATTATGGTAAGTGGAGCATTTTCAGAAGTATTTTGAGGACAAATGGCGCCAAATGCCTGAAGAACCAGCAGTGGTTGATGAGGGGACAACATCGGCGATAGCAGCACAGGTGGCAGCAGCGGTCCCTACACCAATAAGTCACGTCACGCCACCAGTCCATGCGGTCACATCTGCTTCTGCAATAAGCAAGGATGAATCAGTAGTGTCTGGTCTTCCTCTTGTGCCGTTGGATGTTTCTTCAGGTGTTATTGACAGCGACGAACATATTGATCTCATTTTACTTGCTCTGCAAACTGAAACTGCCAAATGTCAGGAGAAGATATCCGAACTTCAGCGTCATTCTCAGGAAATTCTGTCGTTGAGGTTTGATTTTTATTGTCTTCATTTTTTCGAATTATGCGTGGAACCACACAGTGGGGATGGAAGCGAGATACCAACTTAATCGAAAATGGGGATGTACAAATATTAACGAATTTGTTGTGTTGATTTTGATATTGTTGCAGGCTAAAACGAAGAGAAGCTCAAGCAAATCATCTGCCAGTACCGGTCCTTTCGGCGGCCACTGTAGGCACTCTCCAGTCCTTGGTTTCAACACAGTTTTCCTTCATTGCGAGCAGCCCAACTCCGATGATGAAATCATCCGCTGTATATCCTGCTGGCAGTGGTGCTGCTTCCGTGTCGCGTAAAAAACCCGGCCGTCCTGCCAGGACTTACCAGCAGCAAGTGTCAGAATTACCTGCAGGATTGCGTACAAATAACGTTGCTGCGGAGATATCATCTCAGGATCGAGAACCGAAACATGAAATAAATTCACCGTTGAGCAAGACTTCTTCCCATCAACGGCAAGTCCAAAATTCGGTGCATGTGTCTACTCCAGTTGTACGTTCAACGGCAGCAGTTCCACCTCAGGGAACACCTCAAAAACCTTCCGAACAAAGTGTGCAAGCGTCAGTAGCGCGTAAGCGTGGTCGGCAGCCTGGTTCTAAAAACAAACCAAAAATAGACACGACACAGTCCGGTATGTCAGTTGCAGATGCTGCTCCACGGCAGTCTGGATCAAGAAGGGTGCGTGAAGATTATGATTTCGATTCGGAAGATGAACGCACTGCAGAGCCAATGAGTTATGACGAAAAGAGACAACTGTCGCTGGACATCAACAAATTGCCGGGTGATAAGCTCAGCAGTGTAAGTTTTTAATAAACTACATAAGTGAAATATAGTTGGATTAACTTCAGTACTTTCAAAATTTTTAAATTAGTATTTTATCTTTCAGGGAAACAATATCTTTCAGTTTGAGATTCTTGATAAAGTCTACACGAATTAAAATCGGTTTTTATCATAATATCAATTTTTTTTATCAATTTATTATCCATTGGAAAGTGTGAGCTGTAACTGGGTGTTCTTCGGACATAATTATATTTTATTTCATATTTTCAGGTTGTCAGTATTATTGAATCTAGAGAACAGCTTCCGGGTTTTAATCCGGAGGAAATTGAAATTGATTTCGAAACTCTTAAGCCGACTACGCTGCGTGAGTTAGAAGCATTTGTTGCTGCATGCTTGAAGAAAAAACCAAGGAAACCATACAGTATGTTTCAGTTCTTTCTAAAGCACTCTGTTGTATCTTCACTGTTATCAAGATTCTAGTATTTCATTATTGCAGCACCGAAGTCGCAGAAAGAAGTCGAGATTAAGAAACGGGAGCTGGAAGAGAAAATCAAAGGCTTAGGTGGAGTGATCACTTCAACACCTATAACTATAGGTTAGCCATTTCTGTCGATTGAAATTTCACTCAAGATAATATCATTTTTCTGAAAGTTTCCTTCGTTCTTTGTGTCGTAAAGCATTTTAGTTTTTATTCTAGCACAAAACGGTGCACGAACAGAGCCGATAACCACGGGTAAAAGCGGTGAACCATCATCTTCAGAATCCTCTTCAAGTGAAGATGACTCGTCATCGGATTCGTCATCTTCGGATTCCTCAGATAGTGAATCAGGTTAGAGTGTTATTTGACAAAATGACAGATTTTAAACTCACATCTCCGCGTTTTTTCTCATTTTTGTTTGTTTCTCTTGTATATTTGATCTTGTTTTAGAAACTCATTTCCTTTACTTACCTCATTAGCATTTTATTGTAATTTAGTTGCTTAGTTCAGGCATTTAATTTCATTTTTTGAAGCATTATTAATGCCAAATGCACCAGCATAGAGCGATAATTTATTACTGATGTCATTAATGTTGATTGTTGACTGCTATTACAATTTAAAGGAGTGTTGTTTCTGAATTAGAGGCGCTCTTTTAATTTATTTGAGTGGCGAAAGCTCGGTCATCAAGAGTGTGTGATGCTATTATTTATTTGTCCATGTAAGATTGTGCCCGTAAGTGCAATATCTACAACAGGCAACACAGTCGCATGCAAATCTCTCGCTATAAACGGTGGTTGACGCTTGTTGATAGGGAAAGATTTTTTTTAAAAAAAATTTGAAAGTGATTTTAAAAGTTAAAGCAAGGCGAAATAACTGAGGACAAAAAATCGCAGTTCTGTGATTCTCTGTCGCTTTTTCCACAAATCTCAACGGTTGTCAGAGCCGGAAACGTTTGCCATCTTCATTATTTTCGATAAACGACGGTAGCCTTCTTTTTTAAACTATTCCACCCTTTTTTCCTGGATTTTTTTTTCGTTTTTTTGCACATCACTTCTTAGGATGATGATTCATGCTTAGTGCGCGGAGGGATAGTAAGTAGTGAGTATATTGGGAAAAAAAGAAGTTACTGTTTGTGTTGATAACCTGAAGTGGAATTGCACTTCCGGAAAGGGTTTATTTGCTGTATTTGGTATACCTTTTGAATTTAAAAAAGACAAGAAAAGGTGATAGATGAAAACACTGTGTAGACATTGTTGTTCCACATTTCTCTTGTGGCTATTTCCTTTACTTTTTTCGTGATGTGCAAAAATTTTCTCGACTACCTTTGTTTAAAATTTTTGTGTTGAACCCTGCTCTTTCATAATTCCTTCATTTCTCTTTTCTAATTTTCTTATAGTCTCCTTAACTTTTTGTTTAACGAGCCCACAAGAAATGGCCTTTCTAATGTTTTTGTCTTTTTGTCTTTTGAGAGTATCGCAGGAGGGATACGTGTTGTAAGCTGGCATGATGCTGCATTAAATTAGTAGGGCCTGTTTTAAATTCCGTTGTTCCTTATTTCCATCTCCGGGCTAATAGCTAAAATTTATGCGGGTAAAAACATTCTTGTTTATAAAACTGTAATGGAATATCAGTTTCTGTTTAAGTCTTGCTGCATCATTTCCATGTTTTTCGAGGTAGCGCGTTTTATGGTGCATCTTTTCCTTTCTCATTATAATTTTCTTGAAATGAGCGTTATTTTCTTTGAACAATGCCAGTAATTGATTGACTGATAATACGATTCTCATTTCACAGTACAGCGATCTTATCATTGTTTGTTAGTGTTGAATTACTGATTACTTTTTGTTTTTCTATTTTTATTGTGCGTGGAATATTAATCATTGTTTTGTCCAGTTCGATCCCACAGCATACATATTAATTATTTTTCTTCATTGATAAAATAAGTCATTTTTACTTATACTGATATCATACAATATATAGAAAATAATGTGGGAAAGAAAAAGGCGTCAATCACCATTCGTATAGAAAGCGAGAGTTTTGTATGTGAAGGTAAGATGTGATTATCTTTAGCACAGGAGATGTATTTGAAGTGTATAATTTCATTACTAGGCTCTTTACCAGAGCTTAAAATAAGGTTGTCGGTTACTGTTTCAGAGACCACAGGTAATGCAAAAGTGGAACATCAGGAACAGCGTACTGGTGCTGAAAAATCACAAGGCCCTGGGCATGCAACAAAAGAGGTGAAATTCTGTCCCATACTTGGTTTAAATAGGAAAGAAATTGATTGTGCTCGGTGAGGTAGATTCTGAGTTGCTTCGATGGTTTGGAGTGTACACAACGTGTACCGAATCGGCGATACTTTTTTGAACTATTAGAAATACAACTTGAATGTGCTAAAGGATTCGTGATTTGGGTTAAAAAGTGTTGTTTGAAGAAGGGAACACCACCAACTCCATCATCTACAAACAGTCAACAACAGCATTCAAGTCCCGTATTACAGCATCCTGCAAATCATTTTCAGTTTGGAAATGTCAAAGGTAATTTCTGTTTATCAGGATTTAGATTTAGAAGGATTGGAAGATGGTTGGAAGCTGTATCTTGATTTTGTGTTTGATAGAAAGACTGAATGCAGAAATTCTCACAAAGCATTTCATGCGATTAGAAAATTTAGATCGGTACCGTCTTTTATATTTTTTGCACGAAGTTTTTTAGTATTCGTTTGTTTTATTAACTTTCCCATGATTTTCGAGTATCGAAAGTTCTTTGCGACAAATACAGCAGTTAGCAAAAAACAATATCGAAAATATAATCCCTATCAATAAATATGTTCTACTGATGCGCAAAAGGAGTTTGTTAATTTTTAAAAATGTATTCTGAAGTGGTCGGTTTTCGTGGATCATTTTGATTCACGAGTAATATGGATGATTTTTAATTTTCTTGGGCATCTTCCATTTTGCAGAAGAGGAGCTGGAGTGCGGTAACGATGTTTTGGCAGTGACAGGAAACCAACTCGTTGCTGTGAATTCTAGTAATGCGTTGTCTAATGCATCGCAAGCGCAACAGACACAGCCTCAAGTTTCCGGCGGATCAATACTTGACCAGTTGCTACCAGCAAAGCAAAATGGTTCGTTGAGAAGCTAATTAATAAATCATTAAATGTGAAGCATTCTTTTGGGAGTTTAACTGGTGAACTAATTTGTCGGGCTTAATGTCTTTTATATTTGCGTAATCATTGAGGTTATGTTGCACTGAATTCTATTATGATATTTGTGTGTGAAGCGTTATAATTTAATCGGTTATTGATCCAGCATTTTTTTTGTCTTGCTTAAAGCTGTTTGAAAGGAAATATCAAATTTTAGTGAATGGATAGGAATGGTAGGCAAATCTTATTCATGCTAAGCAGAATGAAAGAAGCATTCACTCACAATACTAATTTTTTTAGAAATGGAAGACAGAACTGGTGTAAAAAAATTGTCTGGATGGGATACTTTGGCAAAGAAAAGCCAGAGTGGTAGTCTGAGCATGCAAACGTCAACGCAGTTTGAATTATTTCGAAAGCATGCCAGAGAAAAGGAAGAAAAGGTTGTTAATAGTTGTTAATAGAAAATTTTGCCACTTAAGTACTGGAAATTTATGTAACAGTGATTGTATGGTATGAATTGGTACCTTTTATAATTATTGCACTGTTTCAAATTAAAGCGTAAGCAGCTGAGAGTGGAAGAAGAACAAAGGCGTCGTTTGAAAGAACAGGAAGAAAAAGAACGTGCCAAGGACCAGGCTGCAGCTGAAACTGCTGAGCTGGAACAGAGACGACAAAATGAACTCCTGCGTCAAAAAGAACAAGTTAGATCTATAGATCATTTTGGAAATTTATAAAACAGCAGTAGAAATAGCATATTCTCTCCTTGGGAATGTTGCTAATCTAATTCTCTAATTAATATTATCAGACTAGCAATATTTCCAGGCAGTTTTGCAAGAGAAGCTAATATAACAGATTTATTTGAATTTGAACTTATTAGCATGAAATCTTTTTTATATGATGATTTTCTGAATGAATTTCTTTTTCTACTGCATAGAAAATTGTTTTCCACTTTAGCGAAGTGTGTGCAACATTGTACGCAAGTATAAAAATTCATTTCTTTATTAGCATTCCATATTGTGTCGTCTTTACGAAAAATTTAAGTCATAGATGATTTTTAAATAGTTATTTTATGGTGATGCCGACAAAACTTTAATTTCAATTTCGAAATATGTCCTCTTATAGTAAAAAAGGATCATCAATTTTCATTCTTAAGTAGAAATATTATCAAAAGGATATAAAATTTTTGTACTGCATCAAATATAAAGTTTTTTTAGTGTAAGCCACGTTCAAATAAAAATTATTTGCTAATCAGAAATATTTATTTTTTAAATTAAAAAGCGACAAAAATTTTGCAAAAAAAGCAAGTGAGTTGCAGGAAAGGCGACGTCGAGAAGCGATGAGTACAGGTGGCGATGTTACAAGCCAGATGGATTTAATGCTCAATTTTGAAGCTAATTTCTAGAAATGGTTTTCAAGAATTTTTTTGTGTTTTATGTCATTTTTAATAGATAATAATATTAAGCTTTTTTACTGACATAATGTTTACTTGTTTATATCATAACATTTTAGTATTGTGTTTGAAAATGGTCCATTTTTAGGCCTATGGTAAGGGAAAGGAAAAAAGGGAGCAATTCTATGTTGTTTTATTTCCTTTGACTAGAAAATGATACAAGTCTAGGAATATCTAAAATCCATAAAAGGGATGTAAAACCATTTTTTTTTGGTGTTATAAATCTTTGATGATGAATTTGATCGAATAGTTATTAACTGATTTGTTGATAATAGGAATATGATTTCGTTGTAGCTGGGAATGGTTTGCAATGTAAGTTTCATTTAGTTTTTCTTCTATAGTTTTTGAATTATCAATCACCAAATTATACTTTTTCGTGAGTGAACATTATTGACAGTTTTTCTTGTACAGTGGTATGTATAGTTTGAATTTGTTAGAATTTCAGTTTCATTTTTTCTGGCCTTGTTTAAATTTTATATGATAAACCACCAAAGAGGTTTATTTATCTTCATCAGCAAGCATGTACACTGTTGATGTTATCAGCTTATTTGCCTTTTCGTAGGAAATATTTGTTGATCGATTTCGACAAAATGTTTTTCTTTTTTTTGATACAATTTATTTCAAGATAACCTGAATGTCTGTAACCACTTATTTCTGAAGGTTGTTACTAATTGAGAAATCTTACAAATTACTGTAATAATTATGCATAATTTCAATTAATTGCTCTTTTCCGGATTATCATACATTCCTGGATTAGGAGACTAAACAGTTGAATGAAGTGGGCGGTTGAGCGGCTCTTCTTTCAGTTAACGTGGACTAAAATATGGAAGAAAGTAGTCATATTCGACATTTGGTTGCTTTTACTGTTGGTATATGGCTCGATAAATATTGGACAGTTTTGATGTCTTAGTTCAAATTTATCCCAATATTTGTTAACCGATTAAATGCTCATATTGTTCGGAAAATAGCTAAATTTTCCTATTGCTGTATTGTTAATGTGTAATAGCGTATCGTCGAATCTATGGTTTGCTCCCATCTAGCGCCAACTGAATAATTTTTTGTTCATATGCTGGAAGATACTTTCTATTTCATTTTCTTTAAATTCAAAAAACAGTGTTATTTTCGAAATAGTGTTAATTGGGATTCTTTGCATGATATTTATTAGAGAAGGGAGAAATTGGAGTTCAGTTAAGTAAGAAATAAAAATAGATTCTTCGATAGGGAGTATGGTAAAAGAGCACCAAATCGTTTGCTACAGTACTGATTGTGTATAGCTTGCTTTTTTTTATTTTCGTATGGATGTATTATTGGCAGTCGGCATCTCACCACTGTCGTCAATACAACTTTCCTCTGTTTTGATCCTAACTTGACCGTATGATAGAGAGAACATTTCTGGATGTTTGCTCTCTTAAAGGTCTTCAGTGTTACGTGGTTCTTTGTATGTTTTTTTTTTAAATTATAATCTTATTCTTTTATTTCTTCCATTTATCACCTTTATTTCTCTATAGATTTTTGCTCACAGTGTTTTGAAAAAAAAAACATTTCGTAGAAAGAATGCAATGTTAATGTTTGTCCTTTGACTTACATATATTTTCAAGAGGAAAATGAAATAGTGAATTATGCATAAATAATATCTATGGATTACAAAGAAAGAAAGATCAGTGAAGTGTAGTGCACCAGTACATAACAAATTTTCGATTGCCAGTAACCAAATCAAATTTTCAATATAGCGACGTTGGCTGTCAAGATTTCATGGCTAATTTGATTGTGAAGATCTGGGATTTGCTATTGCAAGCATTGGAAGGTGATGAGAACTGCAGGAATGCTTACTTTATTACCATTGCTAAAATTGAGTGAAGAGCATCATTGGTCCGTCCTGGTACAGCAGATTCAGTCAGCTGCACTGTTTGGAAATTTTTGATTAACTTTTATAAGAAATGAAAGGTGGGAATTCGTAATCAAAGATTAATGAATTGGTAGGTAGAAAGTTCGGATTATGTAAAATAGAGATATTTCGATAAAGTAGATTTTTTCTTCCTTCAAGAAATGATATAATATCGGTTAATTCTTATCCAGCAGTATCACACATTTCATAGAATTTGTTGCTGACGGGTCACACGATACGATTCATGTTACCCATCTAAGTAATTGATAACTTCCTATCGTTTATAATTAATTTTGATGAGCAGAGATATTTACATAATTCGAGTTATTTCCCAATTGATCTTACAATTGAGATTTGAAACGTTATTGAAATCTTTTGCCATCTGTTCACATCAAATATATTATATTTTATTGAGATTTATTTAACTAAATTAAGGAAAACTGAAAAAAGGTAAGGAAATGCATGATCAGGGAGACATAGAAAGAGAGAGAGAACAGAGGGAGAAGATTAATCCAGTCGTTCAGCATATGACAGCAATTTAGAAAAATTTTTGCATTGCTGAAATCAATATAAACGAAATTCATCCGAAAGGCTTCTTAGGTTGATAGGTGAGTGTTCATTGCCTGTTGTTGTTTTCATCATTAGAATTCGTTATTATTGAATCAATCCACAGTCAACATTCATCATTTTCCCCTTAGCTTTATGGAAAGCATTGTATATTGATGTTATTGATGAAAACGGAGCACATCAAAAGAAAGAAATAGAATCCAGTGATGAATAAGTGTAAGTGTTTTGTTTCTTTTTTTTAATTTTATGAATTGCGAAAATATAATTCGTTTTTTATATATTTCGTTTTTTTTGCATGAATTGCGAAAATATAGTTCGTTTTTGCTTAAATCTCGGTATTTAATGATTTTTGAAACTGTGATGTTTAATGTTTGCTGATGAACGAGGTTAGCTGTATGTAATCTATGAAAGGGATGATTTATAAAAAAGTGATCATTGAATGATTAACGAAATGATCACTTTTTTAATGCTGACATATAATGCTGAATTATTTTATTCAAAAACTTGACGTATAGACTAAAATAAATGCTTCAAAGGCTTGCATCGTACAGTCACTTTTGATAAGCTGGTATTGAACGTATGGATGATTGCAAAAACATTAGTTGTTGTGCATATTATTTGGGAATATCCTAATATTGATGTTAGTGAAATTAATGGAAGAGTTTTTTGAACAGAAAAGTTTGAGGAAAGTAGTTTTGTCTAAAAATTGTCCAGCATTCTTGCTTTTATAATTTGTCAAGATGAATATTGAGGCGATCTTTTTTTTCTCATGAAACTACTGGTAAAAGCATAGAAGAAAATACTCCGATCATATTTCAGGTGAAGTATTGCCTCTGCTGTTGTTGTTGTGTCTCTACTGCATTTCCGCATTTGGCGGACGACGTGATTCGGCGGAGCATATTGAGCAAGCAGCCGAGAAGGTGGGGAAATGTTTTTGTTTTTGGCAAAAAAAACATTTAAAAAAAATTAAATTCGAAAAAGATTACTAGAAAAACAGTGAAATTTTTAAATATGGAATGAAAGAGATTTGTCGTGAAAACAATTTTATTTTTTCAACATATAATATGAAATTACAGAATTAAAACTTGTCCTCATTAAGGTTCACAAGACTTTGCCTTTTCTTTTTCAGAGGGCGTACAGTATTCATCGTATTGATACCTTAATTTTATTAATTTTTGTTGCTTTGCTTGTTTTTATTGTTCTTACGGCATGGTTTTTCAAGCATCATCGCTTTCGGTTTATCCATGAAACCGGTCTTACATTGTGTTACGGTTCGTCTTGATTTATGTTGTTTTTTTTCTACATAATTCTAGTTATCACATCCTTCAAATAAAGCACGTTACTTATTTGATTGTAGGAAGAATCGAATTGGCTGTTTGAATGGGGAAATATCTGGAATTTTATTGACTTAGATATAGTTTTATACTCAATTTCATTCAAGTGGTCAAGTTTTTCCAAATCAAGCTTTTTATCTCATTAGTTTTCATTCACTTTATTTTGCTTATCTCAATGTGAACGCTTTATTTGGTTAGGAATAGGCTTTAGATTATTGTGTTTAATTTGGAACCTGAAGCGGAATTTGTTTCAGGTTTATTGATTGGTCTATTACTACGCTATACAAATATTGGTGTGATTGAAAGTCAGACAATAGATGTAATGCAGAAGAATAGATCTGTCGTGCATGACCCGCCGGATTATTTACGACTTGAGGTTCGGTTATCTAACTCAAATATGTAAACACTGAAAAGAATTCTGTTAATTTTTATTTTTAGTGGGTTTTCTTTACAAATGGTTTTTCCTGATGTTCGATATTTTTTGTTCCATTTCATCCTTACGATCATGTTTCTCTTTTATGTACTATATCAGGAGACATGTCTCACTTTGTTGATGATCACTTCTATTTTCCATTCGAAGTGCCGTCCAGTAATCCTGTTATAAACATTTTAATATTTTAGGTTGAACCGGCAAAAACACAGAAAGTACAGTTTCATTATGAACTGATGGAAGGTTTTTTTGGAGATAAGGAAAAACAAAGCGAACGACATCTTGAACAAAAAGTATATTTAAGTTTTCCTCAGGGTTCGCTGTAATTTATCCTTTTGCGGTAGTTTTTTTTTTTTTAATTTATCTTTGATCATTAAAGATTTAAAAGATTAATATAAGTATTAATGTTTAATGTGCTTTCAGGCTGTATTTTCGCCGGAGATATTTTTTAACCTACTTCTTCCACCAATTATTTTCAATGCTGGCTATAGCTTAAAAAAAGTACGTAATTAGTATTTAACAGGAAATTATGAATGCCAATAATTAAACTGGCGATTATTGTGCAACCAACTTCTTAGTTAAAAGTCTTCATTAATTAGGAAGAAGATGTACTATTCTTTATTCTCTTCCGGCATTCAAAGGAACACATCGAACAATGAAAAGGGTCACTTACGTTCCTGAAAAATTTATGTGATTAATGTTTTCAGCGACATTTTTTTCGAAATATTGGCAGTATTCTGACATTTGCTTTCGCTGGCACAACTATATCAGCTGTAATTTTTGGGTATGTTCTCGATATTATTTTATTTATTCGATATTGAGTGAAAATCAATGTGGAAGGTTTGAATCGTTCATCTTTTTGCGTATTTCTTCACACTCATCAATTGTTTTTATTCTGTATCACACATTATTGTAGAATAATAATGTATTCGTTTTGTTGGTTGTTCTCTTCATCATTCACGTTCAAGGAACTTCTTTTTTTCGGCGCGCTGATGTCATCAACAGATCCTGGTTAGTTTTTCTAATTTCTCGTATTTTGTAGATTTTCTAACAGGAATCATTGTTATGAATTTCCTAATTGTTACTGTGAATAAAAAAAGGAGAAAAAAAAACTCTGATGGAACGTACTGCACAATTTATTTATTAAAATATGCACTTAGGCCGTTTTCAAATGGGTAATTAAATCAAAGTGGTTGATTGAAGTTTTGGAAGCCGATTTCTGTCTCATATTAAAACTTCAAGCATGCTTAATAGTATGAAAGATATCGTAATTTTCATTATGAATGTTCATGTTCTTGCAATAACGAAAATAATTATTATTGCTCTAATTTTATTAATTATTGAATTTTTTTACTCTATTACTATCATAATTGTTATTGTATTACTGTTAATTATTGTTTCTCTTAGATTAGGCAAAAGCATTAGGAGTTGATAAGTATTTCTTTATTTTCTCAACATATTTAGATTTTCTTGAGTTTTATTTTCTGAATATAAAAAGTGGTACTGGAGTGATGGTGTAGTGGCAATGGTTTTAATATGGGGCACATAATAATTCAGGGTGGAGGCTCAGTCGGTGCCTTCATACTTGGTAGCATGTGCAAGAGAAAGTACACTGTTGTCTTATTAGTCGGCAGCATTCTGAATGTTGTTGCCTAGAAGTAATGATGTTACAGTAACTGAGGAATTAAGGGAAAAAAAAATTTCCTTCTAAAAAAAGGTCAAGGATTTGAAGGTGTCTAAGTAGTTTAAACGAAAAATTGGATTTTTCCCTGAAAGTTGAATAGGAGGAGATGAAGTTTGATTTTCTGGATCACCGGTACTTATTTGTGGGATATTAAAGTTGTTAGTAGAAAAACTAAAAATTTGTAATATCATTTGTATGTTGATTATGTATTAATTTTTATTTCTTTTCAAATATAGCAAAACTCTGCCTTATAGATTTACTGCAGCTTGCCCTAATTTTGCTTTAAAATTCTTTTCCATTAAACAATTTTAGTATCAGTATTGGCTGTTTTCCAAGAGATGGAAGTGGAATCGGATCTATATGCATTGGTTTTTGGTGAAAGTGTACTGAATGATGCAGTTGCTATTGTTTTGTCAAGGTAATCTACGTTTTATTTTCTGCCAGTCATAAATCCGAGATTCCAATAAAGTGCGTTGTTGTTATTGTTGCAAAGATTAATTAAATAACACATTTTTGATGATAGCTGGATGTTGTTAATTTGGGATTACCAGAAATGATATCCACATTTTATAATAATTTTATGAAATTATATAATTTCAGTTCAATGGAGAATTTTGCAGCTTCGGATAAATCATTCGATTTGGATGCTTTGGTTGCTGCTGTTATTGACTTTTTATCTGTTTTTTCCGGCAAGTTTCTTTTAATGAGCATATAGTTTGTCAGAATTCATAAGTATACATTAATCTACTTAGTTATTTTGTTTCTCTGTTCATATTGTTGCGAAATCCTTATTATCTGAAATACGAAGCTTGCTTTTTCTTTCGAAATATCGTGCTTCTTGCAGGATCACTTCTATTGGGTTCAGTTATTGGTTGTGCTACAGCGCTGATCACTAAAATGACTGAAATTAAGGAGTTTCCTTTGCTCGAAGCAGCTTTGTTCATACTTCTTTCGTATTTGTCATTTCTTCTCGCCGAATTTGTCGAACTAACAGGTTTTTAATGTTACTATTGTAATCAGTTAGATTTAGAATTAGTAATTTTGGGTTTCATGAATTTTTATGTCCTACATAGATGTCTGAGTGTTATAAATGATATTTGCATTATATTAATTAACAAATCGTTATTTTAATTAACAAATAGTTGCATCAATTAACAACTTTCATTTATTGTGGGTTAAGCTTATAGAAATAAAAAATTTCTCTAAAGTGTTTTAAAATTTTGTGTTGTTTTAGGAATTGTCGCTGTTCTTTTTTGTGCCATATGTCAGGCTCATTATACTTACAACAATTTATCAGATGAAGCGAGAACTAGGACGAAACAATTTTTTGAGGTATTTGTTTCAAAATTAATTATATTGCCGAAAAGATTTTTCAAAAATTATCGTTAGTGAAAAACATGATTGTGCGGTGTGAAATTGTGCGATTACTTGGTTGTGATGCTAAGTCTTATTTCACATTCCAGAATGTTGCGACATACATTTCAGTGCACTTAAATGTTCTTTTTTTTGTCCACAAAGGGCGAATAGAGCAGTGAATTGATAGGTGCTTGTTAAAGAAGATATAGAATTTTTATAATAAAGTTAAAACACTAGTACAACAGTGTAATTTTTTAGGAAGTTTCATTCTTGATGGAAAGCTTCATCTTTTGTTATATTGGAGTAAGTGTTTTCGTATCGCACAGTCAGCAATGGAGTATTTTCTTTTTCCTTTGTACCCTGGTAAATTTTTTTTTTGCCCTGTAATAAGCATCCCTTTTGGAAATTTTAATTTTTTTTAATGAGACATGTTTTCATCTATATCGCTCAGCGATTAATCTGTTCAACAAATGAATATAACTGTCATTGTGAATTTCTTTTGAAAGAACACTGTTCTGTTTTATCATTCATGTATGGTAGGAGAACAATGATTCTAATTATCCGTATCATTTCTATGTTACTGATCAAATCGTTTTAATTATAGTTCTTTGCATATATGGCATGTTTATGTTTTCGGATGTTTGTTTTTCATGAACTTATGCACTTTCACTTATGCATGCTTTTCAGCTTTCTCTGTTTTTGTCAAGAGCGGCTCATGTCTATCCGGTCTCTGCCATATTAAATATTCGTCGAAAACCTAAAATTCCACAGCGATACCAACATATGATGCTTTTTTCAGGTATATGATGCTTTTTTCAGGTATATGATGCTTTTTTGATTTATAATTCTCTTTTTGTTGGAGGAGTTCGTAGTACTGACTGTTAATTATATATTTTATTCATCTGTTAACAAATCAGTTGGGCTTCATTTCTATATAAAACTGAAAAACTATACAATCTCTGAATTTCAAACTTAGTATTTTAATTAAAGGATTGCGTGGCGCTATGGCTTTTGCACTTGCATATCGTAATACATCAACAGATAATCGTCAGATTATGGCTACTACTACTAGTATGGTTGTGATCGTAACTGTACTGTTCAACGGTGGTCTTACTTCTTGGTTCACTGAATATTTGGGCATCAGGTCTCTTCATTTTTGTTTCCATATATGATACTACGATAAAATTTGAGTAAAAAATCTGAGAAGGAAATATCTATGCTGGAAAATTGCTGAGCATAATTGTTTGTTGTTATACCTTTGAAGAGATCTTTTCCACCAGAATTATCGCTTTAGGCATGGTAATGATGCTCTTGATGATTCGCAATTGCAGCTGAATTTGGTTAGTATTTCACTTTTTTCCAATTGAAGTCGAAATTCTGTATGACGATTTGTGAAGATTTCAAATACAACAGTTTGTACAAATGAAAATATTGAAAACAAATTCTAACATGCACATATCTTGATCGTACATAGAGATCTTACATTTACTAATTATTGCTGTAGTGTACATTTTAAATATAGGATGACAGCCATTTACAAGGCATAGATACATCATCGCGTGTCAGCGGACAAAATCCATGGGACAAAGCATTCCTTCCTCGAAAATGGTACAACTTTGATGCATCGTAAGTGCTTCGTTATCTTTGTATTTCCTATCAAATGTCACTTTCTGTACACCAAAACTGTCATGATATATTTTTGACTAAAAAGATGACGATAATATTAAATTGTTCAATAGTCCACAACTTCTTTCGCTGCTGATATTTGCAGCTTTACGGATTATAAAATTATTAGATTTCTAGGAAAAATGAAATCATGCATGTAAATACGAATCGTTTGCAGTTTTATGAAGCCATTCTTAACTAATGCAAATCCAACATTATTGGAGACAATGCCATCATTTATGGCACCATTCGCGAAAATATTCACAACCAAGCAGCAGCTAACTATGGTATGTATTGTTGAAGTGATTATTGGGTTAAGCTTTGTAGAAGATTAAGTAACAGGAAGAGATTCGATAGAATCGAATCTGAAACTAGTTTTACCTAAGAATCGTATATCAGTAATATAAAAGTGATGGAAAATTTAATTTATGTAACAGGTACAATCTGTTGTCAGATCACTGAACTTAATTACTTATTATTTAATTT